GGAATTCTTTGAGTATTGCAATTTTATTTTCTTTATAATAAAATGGGGTCATACTATTCTCCTCTTTTCCCCCCTGCAGTTTGTGCGCCTGACAAAGCATTCCCTGCCGCAGGTGGGGCGCCTGTGCCTGATCTCGACCTTCCTGGAGGATGGGGCACGGATGTGGTTCCAGTGGAGCCAGCAGCGGGACTACATCCAGGCCACCTGGGACTGTGGAACCCTCCTCGCCTCCGCCTTTGTCTTCCTCAACCTCTTCGGGCAGATTGGTGAGCAGGAGGTGGACTAGGAGCGGGGGGGGGGGTCTCACATCCACAGGGAAATGACCTCTTCCTCTTCCCCTCCCCCTCCCAGGTGGCTGCATCCTGGTGCTGAGCAGAAACTTTGTCCAGCTCGCCTGCTGCGGACTCTTTGGGATCATTGCCTTGCAGGTGATGCTCTGGGATTGGTTGGCTTTTGGGAGTCCATTCCCACTCTAGGGTCCCATGGTGGTTCTTCTATTATTGTTGTTAAGCAGATGGCCCTTGGGAGCCCTTTTCCACTCTAGGATCCCACGGTCTATTTATTATTTATTTATTTATAGTATTTATATCCCGCCCTTCTCAACCCGCAGGGGACTCAGGGCGGATTACAATGCACATATACATGGCAAACATTCAATGCCATTTAGACAAACAACATATAGAGACAGAGTGAGGCAATTTAACATTCCAACTTTCTGGCTTCATGGGGGTATGCTCGGTTCTGGCCACAGGGGGAGCTGCCGCTTCATCATCCACTTGTGACGCCAAGTCCTTGATGGAGTACTTCCTCATTCTTACGTACGCTGCTGGAAGGTTTTTTATGGTGTCATAAATTCGTAAAATTAGACTCCTTGCATAAAGCGCTATCTAAATTTCCTTCTTGACAGATGCAACTGTCTTTTGGGCTGCACAGGTCAACAGCAAGCTAGCCTATTAATGGCCGGGAGCTCACTCCAATCTGGGTTGGATTTGAACTCAGTAATGATTTTAATGCAGCTGGTTATTAATTAGCTGCTCCACAGCCCAGTCCTATTATTATTATTATTATTATTATTATTATTATTATTAAAATACAATATTATATTATATATGCACTTTCAACCCTTTCTGAGGCTGCCTCAAGGTACTTAGTTTCCTTCCAGACCTCTATATGTCTGTCTGTCTGTCTGTCTGTCTGTCTGTCTGTCTGTCTATCTATCTATCTATCTATCTATCTATCTATCTATCTATCTATCTATCCATCCATCTATCTATCTATCTATCTATCTATCTATCCACACACATTTTAGCACAGCAGGTTGAACTACCAGCTGCAATAAGTCTTGTCAGTCGAAAAGTTTATAGTTTGGGTCAGGGTGAGCTCGTGGCCCTTAGCTCAGCTTCACCCTCTCTAGTGGTTCAAAAGCAAAATGTGAATAGATAAATAGTAGGCATGGTTAGGTCCAGACAGAATATTCGTTATTTAGAATAAAGTCCGAAAAATGTCCTTTTTGGAGCAATTTCGAAGTTTTTAAGAAAACTGGAAGTCCCTTTGCCCTTCCAAAGCTTTTTCACCATTTTTGTTACGACTCATGAACTGAGTTGGAAATGATCCAGCTTTTCCCTGGTTCTTGTCCCTGGCCTTGGCTCAAGCCAGAGAAGCCAGTTTTAAAGCCAGAGAAGTGAGTTATAAACCAGAGAAGCATGAATTTGCTCCGCTTCTGTCTCAAGCTAGAGAAGCAAGCCAGTTTTAAAGTCAGAGAAGCGAGTTATAAAACCAGAGAAGCATGAATTTGCAGAACCAGGAGCGAAGCCAGTTTTAAACCGGAGAAGGAAGGAATTTCATCTGCTTGCTTTTCCCTACTCCTGGAATAAAACAACTACTTTCAAAGTAAAGACCATGCAATGAAACAGGAAATAACACTTTCAAACTATTAACGAAAGGATTCGGAAGTTTTGGAAGTTTCAAAATGTTTTGAAGTTTTTTTTCTGTGAAAATTGGAATTGACTTTAGAATCGAACCACCAACACCCCTACATCTGAAATGAGTTTTGAACCATTTTTTTCTCAAATGTACCACTTAAAATCGGGGAGGTATTTTAAGGCACCTTTAAGGAAATGTCAGGAAAATGCCAGCAATTAGACCAAGAAGGAAGTTTACAAACAAAGTTTTTCAGCAGGGAAGATGGAATGACAACTCCCCCTGTGGCCGGAACTGGCACAAGCCTCCAAGATGCCAAAGATGGGAAAGCCTCTATCTACATACAGTTGTCTGTCTTATCAGTATATAAAACGGCATTGAATGTTTGCCGCATATGTTTGTTCTATGATCCGCCCTAAGTCCTGGTTCTGCCACCGGGACGTGGCCTGGTGAGTAGCCAGTGAGCGAGGGTGGGTGAGCGAGCGAGGGTGGCCTGCAAAGGCAGAAGCAGGCTCCTGCTTCTGCTTCCACCTTGGTGGCCTTCCTTCCCTCCCTCGCTTGCTCATCTGTCCTCTCTCGCTTGCTCGCTACTCACCTGGCCAGGTCCCAGGGGCAGAACCAGGACTCGGGCAAGAGTCTACTATAGACAATACTATAATCCAATAATATAAATCATAAGATTGTTTTTCCTATGTATGCTATAGTCATAGAGCATTCAATTTTCTATAGTGGCCTCTTGCCCATGTAGTTTGGGGAATCCTTTATCTGTATTGTTTATTGCAACTCAGAACCAGGACTCGGCCCGGTGAGTAGCAAGTGAGCAAGGGAGGATGCGTGGGTGAGCAAGCGAGGGAATGCCGCAAAGGTGGAAACAGCTCTACTATATATAGCGTCCCTAATTTGTGGATTTTCACTTGGATGTAACACCCACGATAAGTATTCTCTTCTGTATTTCCCCTTGCAGACAGTGGCCTACAGCATCTTGTGGGACCCGAAGTTCCTGATGCGGTAGGTGCCCCTTGCCCTGGTCTTGCCTGCCTGCCTTCCCTCGGGCTCTGGGCCTGACCCTGCTTCCCTTTCTTTCTCTCTCTCCCTCTCTCCCCGAATAGGAACCTGGCGCTGGGGGGCGGCCTGCTGCTGCTGCTGGCGGAGTCCCGCTCGGAGGGCCGGAGCATGTTTGCGGGGGTGCCCACCCTGCAGGAGAGCAGCCCCCGGCAGTACATGCAGCTGGGCGGCCGCCTCCTCCTTGTCCTCATGTTCATGACCCTGCTTCACTTCGACACCGGGCTCTTCTCCGTGAGTGCACCTTCCTTTCACCCTGAGAAGCGATGCATCCTGCAGCTGGGAGGACTCCACAAGGGCCATCCAGTCCAGCCCCGGTTGTGCCTCCATGCAGAAGCACGACCAAAACCCTCCCAACAGATGGTCAGGCGGTCTCACAAACATGAGTGTCTTCATGAAGAAAGAGAGCTTTCGAACAAAACTCCTCGAGCTGGGAGGGCTCTCCAAGGGCCACCCAGTCCAGCCCTGGTTGTGCCTCCATGCAGGAGCATCACGAAAGCCCTCCCGACAGATGGCCAGCCAGTCTCACAAACATGAGTGAGAAAGAGAGCGTTCAAACAAGACTGCTAGAGCTGGAAGGGCTCTCCAAGAGCCATCCAATCCAGCCCCAGTTGTGCCTCCATGCAGGAGAAGCACCACCAAAGCCCTCCCGACAGATGGCCAGCCAGCCTCACAAACATGTGTGCCTTCATGGAGAAAGAAAACGATCGAACAAGACTGCTAGAGCTGGGAGGGCTCCCTAAGGGCCATCCAGTCCAGTGCTGACCCTCCGTCCATGCAGCAGAAGCACCACCAAAGCCCTCCTGACAGAGGGTCATGCAGCCTCTACTTCAAAGTGGGGGGAAAGGAAGGAGCTTGAGCTAGATGGCCCTTCCAACTCTGGGATCCTATGGGATATCTGTCTTATCTCTCTCTCCACCAACTGTATCCAAGGCTCTGTGGGTGGATGGTCGTCTGTTGGGAGGGCTTGGATTTAAGTGGGGTTGGACTAAGTGGCTTCTGAGGGTCCCTTCCAACTCCAGAATCCTATGATGGAAATATACATAGAGGAGGCTGGTCTGGATGGCATTTAGGGGCCCTTTCCAACTCTGTGCCAGGCTGGGTGGCCACCTCTCAGAAGGGGCCAGATGGTGCCTTCCTCTACATTAGAAGGGAGCTGGGCTGGGTGGCCCCAGAGGGGGGAAGTCCCTTCTATAGCCCTGTGCCTCCATGAACTTGCCCATGTCTATGATAGACTGGGTGTCCATCTGTTTGGAAGGCTTTGTTGGTGCCTTCCTTTACATCAGAAGGGGACTAGTCTGGGTGCCCCTTGGGGATCCCTTCCCTATCTCTATTTCTCCATAAACATCCAAATGTTTGTGTGACAGGTTGGTTAGCCACCTGTCAAGTGGGATCAGGTGGTGTCCTCTATGTCAAAAGGAGGCTGGACTGGATGGCTTTGAGGGTCCCTTCCATAGCTCTATTTCTCCAAAAACATTCATAGAATCATAGAATTGGAAGAGACCTCATGGACCATCCAGTCCAACCCCCTTCAAAGCACCCCTGACAGATGGCCATCCAGCCTCTGTTCAAAAGCTTCCAAAGAAGGAGCCTCCACCACACTCCAGGGCAGAGAGTTCCACTGCTGAACAGCTCTCACAGTCAGGAAGTTCTTCCTAATGTTCAGATGGAATCTCCTTTCTTGTAGTTTGAAGCCATTGCTCCATGTCCTACTCTCCAGGGAAGCAGAAAACAAGCTTGCTGCCTCGTCCCTGTGACTTCCTCTCACATATGTCTATGAGGCTGGATGACCCTCTGTGGGGAGGGATCAGATTGTCTTCCTCTACATCAAGAGGGGGCTGGACTGGATGTCCCTTGGGGGGGCCCTTTGATAGCCCCATTCTCCCATGAACCTACGAATGTCTATGAGGCTGGGTGGCCCTCTGTCGGGAGGGATCCGATTGTCTTACTTTACATCAGGAGAGGGCTGGACTGGATGTCCCTTGGGGTCTCCTTTGATGGCCCCATTCCCCTATGTACCCACCAATATCTTGGAATTGGATGGTCATCTGTTTGGACAGCTTTGCTGGTGGCCCTCTTTATGTCAGGAGGGGGCTGGTCTGGATGGCGCTTGGGGGCCCCTTCCAACTTCAGAATCTTATGATACATATATACACACACGTACACACACACACAAAGGGGTTAAACTGGACGTCCCTTGGAGGGCCCTTTGATTTTCCCATTCCCCCATGAACCTTCTAATGCCTATGAGGCTTGGTGGCCCTCTATTGGGAGGGATCCGATTGTCTTACTTTACATCAGGAGAGGGCTGGACTGGATGCCCCTTGGGGTCTCCTTCGATGGCCCCATTCCCCTATGTACCCATATCTATGTACTACCCATATCTAGGATAGACTGGATGGTCATGTTTGGAAGGCTTTGCTGGTGCCTTCTTTTATGTCAGGAGGGGGCTGGTCTGGATGGCCCTTGGGGGTCCCTTCCAGCTCCAGAATCCAATCTATCTATCTATCTATCTATCTATCTATCTATCTATCTATCTATCTATCTACACACACAGATGACCCTTGGGTGGCCCTTCAGAATCCTATGATACACACACACACAGCCCCCTTCCAACTCCAGAATCCTATGATACATACACACACACACAGAGGGGGTTGGACTGGATGGTCCTTGAGAGCCCCTTCCAACTATAATAGGCTGAGTAGCCACCTGTTGGGAAGGATGGGATGGTGCCTTTCTTTACATCAGGAGGGGGTTGGTCTGGATGGTCTTTGGGGCCCCTTCTATTGCCCTATCCCTCCATGATCCTTCAAATGTAGGTCCGTGTGTGGCCATCTGTCGGGTGGGATTGAATTGTGCCTTTATATCGGAAAGGGGTTGGACTGGATAGCCTTTGGGAGCCCCTCCCAACTCTCTAATGGGTTGGGAGGGATGAGCTGGTTTGGATGGCCCTTGGGGGGCCCCTTTTCACTCTTGTGGCCTTCCTCTGGCTCTAGATGCTGCAGGACGTGGTGGGCTCGGGGCTGATGGCGCTGGTGGTGCTGGGCTGGAAGACGAAGCTGGCGGCGCTGACGCTGACACTGTGGCTGCTGGGCACCAACCTCTACCTGAACGCCTTTTGGGCGGTCCCGGCCTACAAGCCCATGCACGACTTCCTCAAGTACGACTTCTTCCAGAGCCTCTCCGTGGTCGGGGGCCTCCTCCTGGTGGTGGCCCTGGGACCCGGGGGGGTCTCCCTGGACGAGAAGAGGAAAAAAGACTGGTAGGAGGAGGAACTCTCCTTGCCACGGGCACCAAAGAGACAGGCACACCTGCCTCCCTCTCTCGGCGGGACACTGCCGCCATCCCGTTTTGTGATTCCCTCCGTTGGGAAGGAAGGACGGACAGACAGAAGTGGACTTTTGATTTCTTGAGAAATTCCTGAGTGTGTTTTTAAAAAATAAATAAATAATAAATAAATATATAATAAATGAGAATAAAATATTTAGTCAGATACCAATTGTACATGTTCTCCCACTTAAAAAGACGAGAGAGGCCTGTAATTGACATCCTAGGTAGACCTCAACTATGAGAGACAACATGGGAAAACACATCTAGAAAATCACATTGTCTGGTTTTTAACGTATTTATTCGCAAACTAGCTGTGTCCTGCCACGCGTTGCTGTGGCAGCGGTTCTGTGGGAGGTTTGGCCCAATTCTATCGTTGGTGGGATTCAGACTGCTCTGTGATTGTAGGTGAACTACAAATCCCAGCAACTGCAACTCCCGAATGTCAAGATTCTATTTTCCCCAAAGTCCACCAGTGTTCACATTTGGACATATTGAGTATTCGTGTAGAGTTTGGTCCAGATTCATCATTGTTTGAGTCTACAGTGATATCTGGATGCAGGTGAAATACAACTCCTAAACCAAAGGACACTGCCCACCAAGCCCTTCCAGTATTTTCTGTTGGTCATGGGAGTTCTTTGTTCCAAGTTTGGTTCAATTCCATCGTTGGTGGAATTCAGAATGCTCTTTGATTGTAGGTGAACTATAAATCCCAGCAACTATAGCTCCCAAATGACAAAATCAATTTTTTTGAATGAAGGACATACATTGGCCTGAGAGGTGTCTTGTGTCCAAATTTGATGTCAATTCGTCCAGTGGTTTTTGAGTTCTGTTAATCCCACAAACGAACATTACCTTTTTATTTATATAGATTATGGTGGAAAGTAAGTATTTGGTCACCTACAAACAAGCAAGATTTCTGGGTCTCACAGACCTGTAACATCTTCTTTAAGAGGCTCATCTGTCCTCCACTCATGACCTGTAGTAGTGGCATCTACAGTGTTCCCTCACTTATTGCTGGTATTAGGTTCCAGGACCACCTGTGAAAAGTGAAAATCCGCCAAGTAGGGACACTATATTTATTTTAATATTTACACATTATTTTAGTAGTTCAACACAATTTTAAGTCTTTATAAACCCTCCTCACACACTTATACACTACATAACACTCCTTGAACGTGTTGTTCACGTAATCCTCGGCTCCGGCTTTATCCACAGAGGCAGCCGCTCCATACAGACAAACTCTCTTAAGTCCATATTGAAAAACCGTGCAACAGTGAGTCCACAAAAGTGAACAGCAAAGTAGTGAGGGACCACTGTATTTGAACTCGTTCTCAGTAGAAAGTAAACTCCACTCTGGTGAAGGCCAAAGAGCTGTTGAAGGACACCAGAAACAAAATGGTTGCTCTGCACTAGACTGTGAAGACTGAATGTGCAATAGGCAAGCAGCTTGGATGTGAAGAATCAGCTCTGGGAGCAAGAATTAGAAAATGAATCTCCCTCAATCTGGGGCTCCACATAAGATCTCGCCTCGCCCGTGGGGTCAAAATGATCACAAGAACAGTGAGCAAAAATCCCAGAACCACACGGTGGGGGAACCTAGTGAATGACCTGCAGAGAGAGAGCTGGGACCAATGTCACAAAGCTTGCTACCATGAGTCACACATTACTGTGCTGCCAGGGACTCAGATCCTGCAGCGCCAGGCGTGTTCCCATGCTTAAGCCAGGACACGTCCAGGGCCGACTGAAGGTTGCTAGGGAGCATTTGGATGATCCAGAAGAGTATTGGGAGAATGTCATATGAATGTCAGATGAAACCGAAGTAGAACCGTTTGGCAGAAATACAACTCTGTCGAGTTTGGAGGAGAAAGAATGCTGAGTTGCATCCCAAGAACACCATCCCTACTGTGAAGCATGCGGGTGGGTGGCAACATCATGCTTTAGGGCTGTTTCTCTGCCAAGGGACCAAGGCGACTGATCCGTAGACATGAAAGAATGAACGGGGCCATGTCTCGTGAGATTTGGAGTGCACGCCTTCCATCAGCAAGGGCACTGAATAGGAAACGTGGCTGGGTCTTTCAGCATGACAAGGATCCCAACCACACTGCCAGGGCATAGAATCATAGAGATGGAAGAGACCTCATGGGCCATCTAGTCCAACCCCATTCTGCCAAGAAGCAGGAATATTGCATTCAAAGCACCCCTGACAGATGGCCATCCAGCCTCTGTTTAAAAGCTTCCAAAGAAGGAGCCTCCACCACACTCCAGGGCAGAGAGTTCCACTGCTGAACGGCTCTTACAGTCAGGAACTTCTTCCTCATGTTCAGATGGAATCTCCTCTCTTGTAGTTTGAAGCCATTGTTCCACGTCCTAGTCTCCAGGGAAGCAGAAAACAAGCTTGCTCCCTCCTCCCTGTGGCTTCCTCTCACATATTTATACATGGCTATCATATCTCCTCTCAGCCTTCTCTTCTTCAGGCTAAACATGCCCAGCTCTTGAAGCCACTCTTCATAGGGCTTGTTCTCCAGACCCTTGATCATTTTAGTCACCCTCATCTGGACACATTCCAGCTTGTCAATATCTCTCTTGAATTGTGGTGCCCAGAATTGGACACAATATTCCAGGTGTGGTCTAACCAAAGCGGAATAGAGGGGTAGCATGACTTCCCTGGACAGAGGCGGCCCTAGGTAATTTTCAACGGTAAGCAAACAGTATTTTGGCGCCCCCCCAACCAATCATTGATATATATTTTCTGTTTGTCGTGGGAGTTCTGTGTGCCATATTTGGTTCAATTCCATCATTGGTGGAGTTCAGAATGCTCTTTGATTGTAGGTGAACTATACATCCCAGTAACTACACTTGCCGCACTTGCTCCCTTGCCTGGCCCGCTTTGGGTCCGGAGGCGTGCCTGAAGACCCCGGCGTGTGCACCAAAAGTCACCTCTTCTCCTGACTTTCTCCTCAGCCATTGGGACCAAGAGAGAGAGAGAGACAGAGGTGGAGATGCCCACCTTTCCTGAAGGTAGGCGCAAAAACAAAGGAGGGAGCGGAGGTGGGAGATACCTCCAGCCGGAGGGGCTCTCTCTCTCTCTCTCTTGGTCCCAATGGCTGAAGAGAAAGTCAGGAGAAGAGGCAACTTTTGGTGCGCACGCTGGGGTCTTCAGACACGCCTCCGGACCCGAAGGGGCCAGGCACGGCGGCTCCACCCCTTGGCCCACCCGCGGATTGGGGAGAGGAGAGGAGGCGGGTGGAGCGCCGGGGGATCGGGAAAGGGAGCCGGTCATGGGGGAAGGGATCGAACGCAGAGAACGATTGAGTGCCGGCTCTGCTCGCGCACCCAGTGGCTGGGTGGAGCAGGAACGAGAGGGGCTAGGCGAGGCTCAAGGGCCCGGCCCCTTTGGGAAGAGGATCGCTCGGCAGCGAGGCAAGAAAGCCGAGGCTCCCCCCGGACTGCTAGGGCTGTTGTGAGCTGAGGGGGCGCTCCTCAAGTGGCGGTCGAGGGGCATTTACAGAGGCGCCTCTGCGCCCCTGGCAAAAAAAAGTGTTCTGCGACCGCTTACTTCGCGTAATGGACAAGCCAATTACTCCCCTGGACCTAGACACTATGCTCCTCTTGATGCAGGCCAAATCCCATTGGCTTTTTTTGCCGCCACATCACATTGTTGGCTCATGTTTAACTTGTTGTCCACGAGGACTCCAAGATCTTTTTCACACGTACTGCTCTCGAGCCAGGCATTGTCCCCCATTCTGTATCTTTGCATTTCATTTTTCCTGCCAAAGTGGAGTATCTTGCCTTTGTCCCCGTTGAACTTCATTTTGTTAGTTTTGACCCATCTCTCTAATCTGTCAAGATCGTTTTGAATCCTGCTCCCGTCCTCTGGAGTATTGGCTCTCCCTCCCAGGAAGGAAGGAGTGGCTTCCTCGTCAAGAATTTCAAGGTCCTGGAGTGGCCGAGCCAGTCTCCAGATCTCAACCCTATAGAAAACCTTGAGAGGGAGTGTAAAGTCCCTGTTGCCCAGCGACAGCCCAAAACATCACTGCTCTTGAGGCAAACTCTGGTTTCTTTTCAGATCGTATAAATATTTTGCCTTTTTACTAAGTATTTCCGTGGAGTTAGGGAGAAATGGGCCAAAAGACCAGCAACAGTGTGTGCCAACCTTTTGAGGACTTACAGAAAACATTTGATCTCTGTCATTGCCAATAAAGGCTATGTAACAAAGTATTGAGATGATGGACCAAATACTTATTTTCCACCATAGTTTGCAAATAAATGTTAAAAATCAGACAATGTGATTTCTCATGTTATCTCTCATAGTTTAGGTCTACCTAGGATGTCAATTACGGGCCTCTCTCATCTTTTTAAGTGGGAGAACTTGTACAATTGGTATCTGACTAAATACTCCCCCCCCCCCCACTGTCTACCTATCCATCTATCTACCTATTATCTAGAGCACCTGGTGGCATAGTGGGTTAAACTGCTGAGCTGTGGAACTTGCTGACTGAAAGGTTGGCGGTTCAGATCTGGCGAGCGGGGTGAGCTCCTGCTGTTAGCCCCAGCTTCTGCCAACATAGCAACGTGAAAACATGCAAATGTGAGTACATCAATAGCAGGAAGGTGACAGCGCTCTATGCAGTTGTGCCAGTGGCCACATGACCTCGGAGGTGTCTACACACAAGGTTGGCTCTTTGGCTTAGAAATGGAGATGAGCACCAGAGTCCCAGAGTTGGACACCACTAGACTGAATGTCAGGGGAAAACCTTTACCTTACCTTTACCTATGTGGATAAATAGGTACCGCTTTTTATATTTTTAAGTCTGTATTATTATTTCTCCCCCTTCCCTTTTTTCTTCCTCCTTCTTCTTTCTTTTTCTTTCTTCCCCTTCCTTTCTGATCCTGTTGCTCTTTCTTTCCTTCCCTCTTCTAATCTTTCCCTTTCCTTCCCTTTTTCTTCCTCCTTCTCCTTTTTCTCTCCCTTCTTTCCTCCCTCTTTCTTATTCCTTCCTCCCTCCTTTCCTTCTCTTCTGATCCTTTTGCTTTCTTTCTTGCCCTCTTCTCATCTTTCCCTTTCCTTTTTCTTCCTCCCTCTCTTCTTTTCTCTCCCCTCCTTTCTTCTTCTTCCTTCCTCCCTCTCCTTTGTCTTCCCTCCTTTTTCTTTCCCCCCCTTCTCTTCTGATGCCTTTTCTTTCCTTCCTTCTCTCTTCTCATCTTTCCTTCCTCCCTTTTTCTTCCTCTCCTTTCTCTTCCCTTTCTTTCTTCCCTTTTGTTTCTTTCCCCTTTTCTTCCCTTCTGTTGCCATTTCTTTCTTCCCTTTCCTCTTATCTTTCCCTCTCCTTTCCCCTTTTCTTCCTCCCCTTTTTTCTCTCCCTTCTTTCCTCCCTCATTTCTTTTTATTCCTTCTTTCTTCTCTTCCCTTTCTTTCCTTCTCTCCATTTTCTTTCTTCCCCTTCCCTTCTGATTCTGTTGCTTTCTTTCCTTCCCTCTTATCATCTTTCCCTTCCCTCCCTTTTTCTTCCTCTCATTTTGTTTCTCTTCCCTTTCCTCCCCTTTGTGTATTTCCCCCTTTTTTATTTTCCCCCTTCCCTTCTGTTGCATTTTTTCTTTCCCTCTTATCATCTTTCCCTTTTTCTTCCTTCCTCTCCTTTTCTCTCCCCTTTCCTCCCTCTTCTTTCTTTCCTTTTTTCTCCCCTTTCCTCCTCTTCTTTCCTTTTTCCCTCTTTCCTTTCATCCTTCTCTTCCCTTTCTTTTCCCCCTTCCCTTCTTTCCTTTCTTTCCTTCCCTCTTTCCTTTCCTTTCCCTCCCTTTTCTCCCTCCCTCTCCTTTCCTTCTTCCCTCTTCTCTACCTTTCCCCCTTTTCTTTCTCTTTTCCTTCTCCTTTCCCCTTTTCTCTTCCCTTTCCTTCCTTCCCTCTTTTCTTCCTCCCCCGCCTCCTCCTTTCCTCTTTCTCTCTCCTTTCTCTTTCCGTCCCTTTTCTTTCTCTCTCATTTCTTTACCCCTCTTTCCTGTTTTTCCATCCTCAGCCCAGCATAGGCATTGCTTTCCTCGCCTAGAGGAAAGGGTTGAGAAAAAACCTGGATGTGGATTCCGGGCAAGAAAGAGGCAGCGAGTAACTCACAAAACTATACATAATCAACACAATCAATACAAGCACCAGTGATGGCTTCCAAAAGAATGTGTGAATCCCTTGCTAACAGAAAAACCCCAAGTCCCAGTCCGTGTCGTTCGTTGAGCCAATCTACTTCCCGTTGACGTCTCTCCCGACCCATTTGGGCTTCCCGCTGTGGCTTTTGGACCTCTTCTTTGGTCTCCCGACTTGCTCCTGGAAGGAGAGAAAGCAGGAAGAAGAGGGCCTCCCTAGGTTTTCCTTCAGCCCTTTCCGTCCACCCATCCTCCCACTCACTGGAGCTCACCTTCCGCCTCTTGAAGCCAAGTGGGGTCTCCACCTCCATGGCCTCGCTGCCGTTCTCACCACAAGCGCCATTGGCTGCCTCTTCCTCCGCCGCCACTGCCGGGCTCTTTTCCGAGAAAAGCTCAGCTGAAAGGCAAGCCCAGATGGGAGGGTGTTCATTCATTCACTTTATTTATTATTAACTTTGTTTATAGCGTGTTCTTTCCTCCCGGGAAGGGATTCAAGGCAGCCAAGAACAAGGAAGGTGAAGAGAAGAACTCAGCCCTCCCCAAGAAGATCGTTTCTGCAGGTTGGTTCTTAAGATGAATTTGTATGTAAGTTGGAACAGGGACATTTTTAAGTGTCACTCCAACTATATATATACAAAGTGTTCCCTCACTTATTGTGGGGGTTCCGTTCCAGGACCTCCCGCAATAAGTGAAAATCCGTGAAGTAGGGACACTAATAAATATTTTAAATATATTTTTATACATTGTTTTTATACCAGAAATGCCTTGCCCAACTTACCGGGCAAGGACCATTGCAGCGCTGGGCATTCTCCCATCAGCCATGCTGCTTGCAGGGGGCTTCTTCCCAGAAGCCCCCTGAGAAGCAGGAGGTTTGGGGAACTGACCCACCCGCATGGGAATTGTATTTCCCCCACAGCTTGCGTGTTACTGTTATTGTTTATTTTTTATTTATGTGGTTTCTATTAATTGTTCTGATTTGATTGTTTTTGTTATTGCCTTGTTTACTGATGTACTGTGGGCTCGGCCTCATGTAAGCCACACCGAGTCCCTTGGGGAGATGGTGGCAGGGTATAAATAAAGTTTTATTATTATTACTAGCTGTCCCCTGCCACACGTTGCTGTGGCCCAGTCTGGTGATCTGGAAAATAAAGTAATGAGAAAGTGTTTGTTTCTAATATATGTAATTCCTTCTTTGCTTGTGAGTAAACAGTATTTCTTGTTGTTTCTTTGTCAGTGTTGATGTGGAGAGTGTCTGGTTTGCCTACTCTGGAATATGCAACATATCATCGTCCTTCTTTAAGGGTCTCTTTCAAATCTATGATACTATATCTGTGTGTGTGAGAGAGAATCATATCTATCTATCTATATCTATGGCTGGATGGCTCTTTGTCAGGAGGGCTCTGATTACATTTTCTTGCCCTGGTGAAGAGAGTTGGACTGGATGGCCTTAAGTATTTTCTGTTGGTCATGGGGGTTCTGTGTGGGAAGTTTGCCCCATTTCTGTTTGTGGGTTTCAGAATGCTCTTTAATTGTAGTGAACTATAAATCCCAGCAACTACAACTCCCAAATGTCAAGGTCTATTTCCCCCAAACTCCATCTGTGTTCATATTTGGGCATTTTGAGTATCAGTGCCAAGTTTGATCCAGATCCATCATTGTTTGAGTCCAGTGTTCTAATGCTCTCTGGATGTACGTGAACTACAACTCCCAAACTCAAGGTCAATGCCCACCAAACCCTTCCAGTGTGTTCTGTTGGCCATGGAAGTCCTGGATATCATGTTTGGTTGAATTCCATCATTGGTGGTGTTCAGAATGCTCTTTGATTGTAGGTGAACTATAAATCCCAGCAACTACAACTCCCAAATGTCAAGTTCTATTTCCCTTAAACTCCATCTGTGTTCATATTTGGGCATATGGAATATTCGTGCCAAGTTTGGTCCAGATCCATCATTGTTTGAGTCCACAGTGCTCTCTGGATGTGGGTGAATTGTAATTCCCAAACTCAAGTTCAATGTCCACCAAACCTTTCCAGTTTTTTCTGTTGGTCATGGGAGCCCTGTGTGCAAAGTTTGGCCCAATTCCATCATTGGTGGAGTTCAAAATGCTCTTTGATTGTAGGTAAACTATAAATCCCAGCAACGACAATTCTCAAATGACAAAATCAGGTTTTTTTTAGTGGAGGACATAAATTGGACTGTTAGCTGTCTTGTGTCCAAATTTGGTGTCAATTCCCCCAGTGGTTTTTGAGTTCTGATGGTAGCACGAACTAACATTACATTTTTATTTATATAATTATTATTATTATCTTTATGTATTTTCTAATGGGAGCATTCATAAAACACGAAATCACATTCTGTCTTTTTCCTACATTCTGGTTTGAGGTGGGTTACAGCATTTTTACTTTACATACCCTGTTGTCTCTGCCCCATTGTTCTTAACTAAGAGCTGTTTGTAACTCAGGAATGACCTGTACTGTGTGAGTTAGGTTAAACATACAGTGAAAATGTAATAAATACAGCTGCAATTCAGGCATTTTCCCCCAAAGACTTTTGGGAGGGTGGCCCATCTTGCAGGTGAGGCGGCCGCCTCGCCTTGCCCCCCCCCTTTCCGGCCAGACGTACGTGGGTACAAATCGCTCATGCTGTCATCCGTGTCGTCGCCACTCTCGCTGTCTGGGGGAGGCTCCCAGAATTCTCCCTTCTTTCCCCTTTGGGCCCCATTGGAGGAAGCCGCTTCTTCGTCCTGTCTTTTCCTGTGTTGCTGCTTCTGGCGCAGGGCGGCCGGCACAAAGGGCACCCCTTCCCGCTGGCATTGCTCATCTGCAGAAAACAAAGGGAGGTATCAAGGCCAGAAAAAGGAGGCTTGGCACTCAGAAAGGGGAGAGAAGGAAGGAAAAAGAGGGAGGGAGAGAGGGGCATATTTCCGATGGTGATGGTGATGATGAAGGGGCCAAAGAACACTTTAGGTGTTTTGCTTTCTGCATTATATCTGATAGGCCAGGCTTGGGCTAAATCCGGCCCTTCCCCCCTCTAGAGCAGCGTTTCTCAACCTTCCTAATGCCGCAACCCCTTAATACGGTTCCTCATGTGGTGGTGTCCCCCAACCACAACATTATTTTCGTTGCTACTTCGCAACTGTCATTTTGCTACTGTTATGAATCATCATCTAAATATCTGATATGCAGGATGCATTTTCATTCACTGGGCCAAATTTAGCACAAATACTCAACACACCCAAATTTGAATGTTGGCGGGGTTGTCATTTGGGAGTTGTAATTGCTGGGGTTTATAGTTCACCTACAATCAAAGAGCACTCTGAACTCCACCATCGATGGAATTGAAACAAACTTGGCACACAGGACTTCCATGACCAACAGAAAACACTAGCAGGGTTTGGTGGGCATTGATCTTGAGTTTGGGAGTTGTAGTTCACCTACATCCGTGGACTCAAACAATGACGGATCAAGACCAAAATTGGCACACATACTCAATATACCCAAATGTGAACACTGGTGGAGTTTGGGGAAAATAGACCTTGACATTTGGGAGTTGTAGTTGCTGGGATTTATACTTCACCTACAATCACAGAGCATTCTGAACCCCACCAATGATAGAATTGGGTCAAACTTCTCACACAGAACTCCCATGACCAACAGAAGATACTTCTGTTGGTGTTTGGCGACCCCTCTGACACCCCCCTCATGACCCCTCCAGGAGTCCCAACCCCCAGGTTGAGAAACACCGCTCTAGAGAATGTGGTTGGGAGTCAGCTGCATTAAAATCACTACTGACCGAGAGGTCATGAGTTTGAAGCCAGCCCTGGTCGGAATGTTTTACTAATAATATAATATAATATAATAAATTGTATATACATATATTTATAATATTATAATGTAATACAATATAATACTACAAATAATACAATATTATAATAATATATTTTATATTACATGTAATATTACTAATAATATTACAATACAATGGTATAGTACAATATAGTTATATATAATAATTATATTGTACTATGCTAATAATATAATATATGTATATATAAGCTGCTCTGAGTCCCCTTCGGGGTGAGAAGGGCGGCATATAAATGTCGTAAATAATAAAGCAAGAAATAAGCTCCCGACAATTTGTCTAGTTTGCTGTCGACCTTTGCAGCCCGAAAGACAGTTGCATCTGTCAAATAGGAAACTTAGGTACTGCTTATGCAGAGAGGCTAATTTAACTAATTTATGATGCCATAAAAAACCTTCCAGCAGCATGCAAAAGAATGAGGAAGTACTCCATCAGTGTCACAAGCAACAGCTCCCCCGGTGGCCAGAATTCAAAAAGCATACCCTCATGAAACTGAAAAGTTAAATTGCCTCTGTGTCTGTCTATATATGTTGTGTGTCTATGGCACATTGAATGTTTGCCATGTATATGTGCATTGTGATCTGCCTTGAATTCCCTGCGGGGTGAGAAGGGTGGAATATAATTACTGTAAATAAATAATAAATAAAGCCCTCCTTTTCCGAAAAGAGGAAGAGGAAAAAAAGAAGAGAGGGAGGGAGGGGAATTCTTTTCGTGTCAGGAAACTGCAAGTCACTTCTGGTGTGACAGAATTGTCTGTCTGCAAGAATGTTGCCCAGGAGATGTTCTGATGTTTTACCAGCCTTGTGGGAGACTTCTCTTATGTCCCTGCATGGGGAGCTGGAGCTGACAGGGGGAGCTCACCCATGCTCTCCCCGGATTTGAACCTCCAACCTTTTGGTCTTCAGTCCTGCCAGCACAAGGGTTTAACCCACTGCGCCACTGGGGGCTCCGGGGAAAGGAATGAGCGATGTACACTTCTGGGGGGCCCTCTACGGAAGTCCCGCCCTCTTGCTGGAAACAGAGAGAAGAGGGGAAGGGGTCTGGGCGACGCACACTTCTGGAGTGCCCTCTGGAAGCGGCGTCCCTGGAAGTGGCGCTGAATGTGCTCCGGCTGGGCATTGAGGTGTCGCAGGGTCAGCTGGCAGAAGAGCTGCTGTCTGAAAAGAGAGAGGAGAGGGAAAGAGAGAGGAGAAAGGTTCCTTTCTGCCAGGAAGAACACCATCTGATTCCTCCCAACAGATGGCCATCCAGCCTCATGGGCATTATGAGGGTTCAGGGAGAAGGACCAGGCTGTGGCGCAACTAGTTCGTAGCCAGCTGCATTAAATCA